AGCATCTTAAATCTTTATGGAAGTAATTTTAAATCATTGGGGAAAAAACCCTAAAGTTTTAACTTTTCAAACACCTGATTCTATTTTTTATTTAAGAGTTCAGGCATCAGTGTAGTGCATTTAAAAATGGACATGAGGCAATATTGCTGCAACCCCTCACAAAGGCTTCTTTCTGTGCTGGCGATCAAAGAACTGAAAAAAATATGTGTCACTAAGGCCCAGAGAATCAATTAATATTGTTTTTAACCACAATGTCTCCTACAGACAGCATTCATAAAAGTGTCAAAATACTTACAGAAAAATACATCTGCCTAATTTTTTACCATTTTTTCCATAAAATCACTGGAAGTTCAAATTGGGTAAACATATTGTTTCCAGGACATCCTGTTTTGTCAATTATCTCCCTTATAGGGCAGATTTTTAATTCTTTGTTTCTATTTAATCAACCTTAAGATCAACACTACAATTATATGAAGGGTTTGGTGAGGTATTCAATCAATTCTACAGTAATCATTCCTGAAATGCTTATTTGATATAAAAATGATGGCATTGTAATCATCCTGAGTAATCATTGCTTCACTTATGCACTCTTTCCATGTTTAATATTCCTAAGACTGCAAATATTACAGATGAGAAAATTAACAGAGATTATTAGTAGTGGTTTGTTTAGATGTGTAGGTATAAACCATCATTTTTTTAATATACATAGAATTAATGTATATTAAAATATTAATGCACTGAGAACACTGAATTCAGTTCTGTCAGTCTACTTTAAGGAGAAGAAATGAATATGAGTCTTAAAATGATATAAAAAAACCCCATAAAATAGAAATGTGCTTGTTAAATAAAATTAAACAGAGTTTATGTGTCTGTTTCACGGGCACTGGCCATGATTCCACATTCCCTAAGGATACTATACATCACTTTGCTAGTGTAAAGGGAGCATAAATCATATTTACAGTTACTTCATGGCTGCTTTATACTGCCAGAGTCATGTAAAACAGTGCAAGTGTAAATGAAGTTTGAAATAAAAGGAAATGCAAAAAAATTCTGTAAGCACAGGTAAAGCACAAAAGACACACTCATGTATTTCTGGTACTTGGAACCACAGCCATTATGGAAATCAATGGAGTGATTATTTAGTTTCTTTCTTAGGAAACACAGGAACATTTAAAGAAAAAGGGCTTGACTGTTGAGTCCGCTGTGGCCTGCCCCATTTAACCCTGTGATGTTTTTAAAGGAACTGATTTGTTTTACTTTTTGATTTCTTTTCTCTGAGCTCTTTCTTGAACTGATTTATAATTCTTGCATCTATTGCTGCCTTCAGCAATGTGTTCCATAATTCAGCTACCCTTTGTGTAATTAAATTCTGTTTGAATTGCTTATAGGCTCATACTGCTTGTAAGCTTTCCATCCGGGATCTCTTGTTTCTGAGTTACTAAAATTTTACCACTAAAAGTATACCACAAACAATGTAGTTTGACTACTAAAATACCTGTGTCTGAATTCAGACTGAATCTGAGTTAAGTAGGCAAGAAAAATCTCTGTAAAACTACATTTCAATTCCGGGCCTTAGAATTTTCTAATGTCAGTAGGTGACAGCTGAAATCTATGGAGATAAAATATGTGACACTATAAACACTCCATAAAAAATAAAATTTCAATTCGGGTCTGACAACATTTCCCATATTTTCTTAACAATTCCTCCATCCAAATTTGAATATGCTATAATGTTTAAAATTCCCATTTGTGCTATTTATAATATGCATTTTTATATGCTTTCCCAATGCCCTGATAGTTTTGTTTCTCTTAAAGGAACAGGCTTCTCCCCTCTCCTCCTCCCCCCTTCACTCTGAAAAAAAACTCAGGAAAATATGCCAGTAAACCAACATGACCACATGCAGTGATATTTTCAAGAAAACCTCAGGAGAAAAGCATTTCTATTTCATAGCATAAATCTGAGCTCTTGGCCAGCCTTCTGTTTGCAAGTCGCCTGCACAACTCTCATGCTAATTCTCCACCAAACCTCCAGTTTTATGAAAGCTATATTTTATCTGTTTGGTTCTTTGCAATCACATGAGAGTTGAAAAAGGAATATTAGCACCACTCAGATTTTATAGTGGGAGTCACAGTACTTGGTTGACCCCTTTTTCAGGTCCTATTGAATTTCCTATACAAAGGAAATGAAAATGTTTTATATTTGCTATAGCAGCATATAACAAGAGGTTTAGTTATTACACATAGAGCTGCAATTTTCTGCCTTTTGTTTCAGTTGTCTGATCTGAAATTTCAAAGCACAATGTTCGTTGGGGTTTTTTTAGTGTTGAGTCTTCAGACACAAGGAACAAGAAACACTGTCATATGTATGCAATTTACTCTGAGCAGGTAACATGGAAATCAGAGAATACAAGCACTGTACTATACAACCTTTTGTTATTTGATTCCAAACCTCAGTTAAAATATATTTGAGATACCTTTTCAGTATGGTCTCGTTACTGTAGAGCTCTTCACAAATAATTAAATGATTAGTGTTAAATTATCCTGCTCCCTTCACCTACCTGCTTTATCCCACCTATTCTGAAAGGAATTTTAGCATTGCAGTAATTTTGACCCCTGAATCATCTCTTCTAATCTGTTAATCTGCATTTCTCTCCCAGTTACTAAAAACCTGTGAAAAACTTTAACTATACCTGCACAAAACAGAATTACATTCTACTTTGTGTGGCAAGGAAGCAAAGCATAATTCCTCATAAGGAACTTAATACTGATGCAATGCAGTCACTGTTGTGACATAATTTAGATGGCTTAAAACCTCTGACTGTGAAATAAAAAAACAAAATGTGAAATTTTAATTTGGGGAATTAAGCCATTAGTTTCAATGGATCAGGATTTTACTCAGAATGCTTGAAGGGCCAAATATTTGGCAAGCCTCAAATAGAGAGTAGGCTATGTGTGCAGACAGGGCTCTTGCACACTGAGTGAAAGAATCCATATTTGGGACAAAAAGATACTACAAATTCTTGTCTCATGTCCTTGCTTGGAAAATGAGTCCAAACAATTCCAATGGGAAATGGCTAGTTTCTTGGCTCAATTATCCTATTAGTGATAAATAAAGATAAGAATTTAGAACAGGTTAAATTACAGAACAATGCCAAATACATGCTCAAGAGGACATTGCAGGCAAAATCTTCAAGTTAAAATAAAGTCTAGCTGAATGAAACCTCACTTCTGACAGATACTGTGAGCACTTGCAATAAAAATTGAGGAAAAAGAAGTTGCATATCTTCAAGGATAAATATGAAATAATAATAACAGATACAAAACCAAGTTCATGGCAGGAAAATTTAAAACATCACAAAATAAAACTAAGTGAAAAAGTAAGCTCTAGGTTATTTTTGGTTTGTTGGTTGCTTTGTTTGTTTGGTTTGGTTTTTTTGTTTTTTGGTTGTCAGCGGTGATTTTTGGAGTTTTTCTTTGTTCGTTTGTTTTGGTTGTGGGGTTTTTTTTGTTGTTGTTGTTGTTCTTTGATATTATTTTCCTTAAAGGAAAAAGCAGTAGTATTACTAACAGCTTACATGCAGTGTTTTCAATTCAGTGTTATTTGAAATCCTGGAATTAGGGTTTTCTTGCAAAATTTAATGTCTTTCTGTGGTGTTTTACTTATAAGCAAACAATATTTCCAGGTTTTCTGGTTACAAGAAAACCTAAATTATTCCTGCATTTTTATTAGCTTCTTCTTGGTTCTTTGAGCAGTCACTGGCCTGTTTTTCAATCCTTCTGTGCTTCCTGTCAGCATGGATGCATCCCTAATTTAACATCAATAGTTTAATGCAGGGAGCCCTGCAGTCATGACTATTGACAATGGGACCCCACACCACAGCACTGGTGCTGCCTGAGTGTTTGGCTCTAACATTTTGTTCCTCACCCTGAATTGAATCCTTATTTAGGCAATTCTCTAATCTTTACCTATACACTTACTCCCGTGTTCATGAGCTGCAAATACTATGGGCTTATTTGTTGAGTTCTGAATTGTTCTTTTGACTTGCAAAATGATGAAAACACACAGTGGTGAAAATGAGAGGAATCCAGGTCCTGTGAACAGTGCAGAAAAGCAAGACTGAAATTTGTATTAAGTCACACTCAAACATTGGTAACTCTTAGGAATGCCTTTTGTAATAGACCATAATGAAAGTTTGAAACTGAAAATCAGTGGTTTTGGGGGATTGTACTCTGTAGTTTTGTTTCAGACCTATTTGAAAGAAATATTAAAGCATTCTTTTTTTTTAAAAGAGTTTTAAGGCACTTTTTCTAATAGTAAGCCACTGTCACCAGGAGGAAGCAAAGCTTTGGTGGTCAACACTATTCCTAACAAGATCATAAATTTGCAGTATATTGAACCATGATATTTTTCAGAATTATCTTTTAGTGTTGGAAAATCTTACTAACTTTCTTTCTGAGTCTTTTGAAGGAAAAAAACATAAATTATGTAGATATTGAATAAGAACTTGCCATTCTAACAAAAACACCACACTTCACCTTTCTGCCCCTAATTTCATGGGCAAACAAAAGCAATCTGCTGTTGAAGATATTGAAGCTCATGAACTGAGCTGGGGAAACTGCTCCCCACTGTACAAGTTATTTAAGGGCAAGAAGTGAGATAAAGGTAATTTGAGCTGCAAAAATATTGGGAAGGGAGAGAAAACATTGAATTTTTATGAAGAATGATGGAGGTAAATATTTCTTGGGAATATTTTTTTAATAACTACTTGGCAGTAATAAAGTGGTGGGATAGTCTCAGTTCCTTCTCTTGTTTGGGCTAGCTAAGCAGTGTATGCAGAACTGTCATCTATGCATTTTCACTGGCAGCAGTTATAACAATATGTCCATCACAGCTGGATTGTTTTTATTTGCTATTCACAGGCAGTTCTGCAGGAGAGAGTTTACAATGTCAAGGCCTGATCTATGGCATACAAGTTGGACCAAATGGGTGATAAACTAAATGTGAATCCATGTAAGCAAAGTAATATATTTTTCTATACACTGTAGCTTCTCTGACAACACTGGCTTTTATTGTAAGACAAACAGATACAAATTAGTAGGAAAGACAACCCGCTCCACTCTTAAGAAGATTTTGCTTTCCTTCCTTAGCATTTACTTCAGATGAAAATAAACAATTCAGAATGTGATTATATGGACAGCACACAGGGACTTAAGCCTACTGGAGCAAGAATAAAGCTGATTTTCAGGCCTGATTTTTTTGTCTATAGCAAATACAAATTCCAATGTTACGGTGATTGCTGTCACCTACCATTTCCTTACACCTTTCAATAAAGAGGCCATCTGCTGCATCTGCTCAAGATCCTGAAGAAGCTGAGTGCAGCTGTCTGACCAGGGAATATCTGAACTCTCAACTGCCTCGTACTGCCTTCTTGGTCAACAACATTCTGTATTGTTGCTGATGTATGAGAAAGTGAAAATTGCTTATTCTCAAAGACCTTAATCAGAAGGCACATCTTGGTCTTCAGCTGTAATTTCTTGTCTAAAACAATGTCACTCATATGACACACAGTAATTTCTGGATCAAATCTAACATTACTTTTGAAATCTTTTAGGAAGGTATTCAACCTTGACATAAAAGCTTCAAGGCATCATGTGCATCACTGAGAATCCAGCTCAGGAAAATATTCACTGTTATAGGAGATTTATTTTATCTTCAATAGCTCTGTATCTGTTGGTACAATCCCACATAATCTTAGTTCCTTATAAAATTGTCACTATATTTTTTCTATACGAAAAATCAGTGACTTTAAATTGTTATATCCATTAAAGAACAGAGAAACATTTGTCTTTCAGTTCACATAAGTGAGTGGAAATAAAAAGGTAACTATCTGCTAAATACCAGTATAATCTTCAAATTGTGATACTTCAAAATAGAATGCAGACACCACATTCAAGGTAAATTAATGTCTCTGATGGTATCAGGTTTACAGAGGAAATGGATACAAATATTTGTTGTATCCACAGTCCATCATGTAACCAAAACCAACAGAGATGACTCAGAGACATGTTAAGGAAAATAGAGATCACTTGTCCTAAGAACTTCTGGTTTTGTCTTAGACCTTCTAACTAGGAAATAAAATTATACTTAATAGGTACAACAAAACTTGTGACGTATAGAGGTTTTAATCCAAGGACTTTGTTGTGGGTTTTTTGTTAAAATGTTTGATAAAAATCCTGTGCCAAATATTAGAACTTGGTTTCTGATGAACAATGCTGCACTGGATTCCAAACTTTAAAGTAGTTATCAGCAGCAAGAAGGAAGCCTTTAGGGTCCTAGTAACAGTTTGGTAAATATTAGGTGCTAAAGTAAGAGTAACTTTGAGTTCATGTGGATTTGGTGTTACTGTATATAGGTTTATAAATATTTTGGTGGTTGAACTATGTTTCTCTCAATTTTTCAAAAAAATGCCCATGATCACTCTTTAAAAAATTCTAAAAACAGAACCCACTTTTTTTTTTTTCAGGATATAGAAGTCACAAAGTAAAATCAAAAATGTGTTTGAAGACTTGTGCAATTTTAAAATAAATTACTGATTCCTTCCAGTGGGTTGCTCAGCCCTGCAAAGAAAAGAAAATAGAGTAATTAAAAAAACAGTTATGCAAAAATTTAGTTCCTCTCTGAGAAGAATAAGAAATTCCCTTCTGTGATTTATTAAGCTTTTTACATTTACAAAGGCACATTATACTTCTGGTTTCTTTCCTCTCCTCTGTCAGTCTATTTTAAAATGTAGAACAAAAGATACATTACAATATTTTGGTGGGAATAATTTTCAGTAGCATAGAATATCTGCATCCAATGACACATAAGCAAACATAAGAATAAATGAAAAGTTATAGTTTTTGAATTATGACTCTTAAAAGAAAACTCTTGATTTATGAAGCAGTTTCTTGGTTCAATATGGTTAAACAACAAACAACTCTTTCTTTTTTTTTAATTTCTTTTTTTTTTTTTTTCCCCAGGCTCTTTCATTTATTTGACTCTCAAGTTTCTTGCTGTTTTTTAGGGACAATATGACCTATTATCAGTCAGGGTCAGAATTAACCACTGTGAAAAATTTAGTATTATGTTCTATAAAAAACAATTGAGGAATTCCCTCATCCAGACCATAACTGATCAGCAAGTTAAATGAAAACTTTTAAACAGAAATATGACCTGTTCTCGGGCTTATGTCTTGGAGACATTATATCCTTAGATACTGTTTTATGATATATATATTTAAGAAATAGGTCATTGCAAAAGTAACTTTCCATTTTTTTCTATTTTAAAAGAAAACTATAGTACTGAGATGTCCTAAAAGACAGGTTTCTGTCTCATAACCATTGGAGTAGACAAAACTTAATGATATGCCAACATGAGACACAGCATGTTTCCAAATTCAAATACAAATATTTATTGGACCCTTTAACATTTTTTCTTTCTTTTTTAGTTTCACATTTTATCAGTTTAACTATTTATATTTAAGAAATAACTTTCAAAGTTCATAAGGACTACATGAGGACTGATTAGTGAGAAAAAGGAGAAAAAGTTACATGTTTACATTTGCATAGTTCACATATGAATGGGGAAAAAAATCAAAAAGGGATGAGAAAGCTCTTTACAGCTCTCAGTGCTAATTCAGAAATTCCATAATGGACTCACTTTGCTGAAAAGTGAGTTCATATTTGTAATAAATATAGGTAATAGATCATTCAATGACCATTCCAAATGATCATTAACTTCCTAGAATTTTACTTCCTATCTCTGTTAGGAAGTGAAACAGTCAATTCTGAGTCCTTTTAAACTTTCCTAATTGTAGGACTGTGCTTTCTAATCAGTGAGAACTCTAGAAATATAATGATTAACTACTGATTCCTTTCTCTCACCATAGCTGTATGATTTTCTCTCACCATAGCTCTATCACATCAGCATAACATTTGCCTGCTAAGGCCAATGGAGGAGGGAGATAATCAAAACTTGAACATATAAAATGCTTCTACCAGTTTATTACTCCAGCTGACCTCTTTCCCCAAATTGAGGACCTTTGAGAGACCATTTGGAAAGTATATTGTCAAATACAAGTAACATTTTAAGCAGAAAATCTCAACATTAAAAACTGTGAGGCAGATGCCTATGTTAGTATGAGCAGATGCTATTGGTGCCCATTGCAACTGTTGATGTTTTCCCTTCTGCAAAAGGACAGGGGTTGTGGATTTCTCCAAAACGGGCTGAAGCCACTGCCTAAATAGGTGATGAAGAAAGCACAGTGAGAAATACCATATTCTGTATGTGGAGTGTCTTTTCTTCTTAAGCCAGTTTGATTTGTTTCTGGCATGCTAGACTCATTGAACAATGTATGTACTGCAAGCTACTTGGATGCCAATGTGACATGTGAGACCAATACATATAAGAAAGCTCCAGAGCAGTATAACATAGAAGATATTGATAATATCCGTTCTGCAAAATGACATTTAAAAAAATCTTATTAGTGAAATGATGAAGATTATGCTTATGATCCTGTGTGTGATAGCACTGTAAGCCAGTCTTTCCAATTTTAGCATCACAGTCCATCATGTAACCAAAAAGCAGCAAGTCTAAAACAAATTGAGAAGCTTGGTATCTTGGAAGCTAAAGAATCTTTGTATGAGAAACTGAATTATTCTTAAAATATGATTATAATAATGTAGTGATCCATTACTAAATGCATCTGTCTACTACATGTATTCCTAAATATCTGTAGCACTGCAGCCCTGTAAAGCATTAGATTGTTTTATACTAAGCACTATGTAAATATGGATAAAAAAGACAACTCTTGCCCCAGAGGACATATTTGTAAAGCAGCAGCAGATTGTGTACATGAAGCCCAGCAGAAGAGTTTACAGAACTATTTTCAGATACTTCCAGTTCTCATAAGCTGTGGCCCAATCAGTAGTCTAATGTATGTGAAGTGTGCTCCTAAATCCTGATATCTTCATCTTCAGATTTATGTTCACCACACATAAAACTTCTTAGTTATGTTTTCTTCAAGTAAATGATTTTTTAATAGCAAAACTATTTTTAAGATGTGCTGAAGTTCATTCATTGGCAATCACATCCAATTGATACTTATAATGATTTTAAAAGGAGGTTGAAATTTCTAGTGGTGTAGAAAGTGAGCCAGTAAATAAGGAAGAAATAAATAAATAAATAAATAAATAAATAAGACTGTCAAATATAGTTCATGCAGAACAATTCCAAGGAAACTCATGAGTTTTACAACCTTTGGAAGAATAATTTTCTCATTTAAAAAATTTCCATAGAAACTGTTATATGTAAATTGGAAGTCTAACTGAATAAATCTACATGCAAGCTAGAATAGGAAGTGATGCAATTTTGTTCAAGTTTTGCATTAAAAACTGCAAAAGAAACTCCAATTACACTGGGAAGATATTCATAAAAGTCCTGAAACTTATTGAACTAATACATCCAGACATTTTCTTCCATGCTTCTGAATTGATTCAGTTCAAGGAAATGCAGTACAGTTAGCATTCAACTTTAATTGCAATGAGGTGACAACATACTGGGTAATGAGTTGTTTATGAGTTGTAGATGTGTTTACAATGAGTTGACAATGTGTTGGATAAAGTGTTCTTCTAAAGTTGTAGATCTATTTACAGTGAGCAGTGGGGGAATGTTCATTAGTTGTCGATTTGTTTGTTTACATTGTTTTCGATTTGCAATTGCTATAAAACAAATCCCAGGCTGATGAAGGATGATTGTTTGTGCGCTTTAATGATTTACTGTAGTAGCTTGTCTGAAAAAGTACTTAACTCTGCTTCATCTGTCAGTTCTCACTGCAAAAGCCCCTAGTCACAATAGTTTTATTAGCACAGCATGGCCATTTGTAAGAACATTACGCATCTAAAAAATATTAGTGCTTTCCTGTTCAGTCTGTTGTATTTTGTCTGACTGAGCTGAACAGAATTTCTTCGGCT